GACGTTTCGACATCGACGAAGATGATCGAAGATGAAACGCTGGAAACGGAGGGTCTACAGGGGTTCAAGGAGAAGATATCTGTTGCTTGTGCCGAGAGAGAAGAACAGAATCTGAGGAAAGAAACCAAGGATAAGGAGGGTCTAGAAGTGTACGGAATGTTGAAGGAAGGAATAGGGTTCAAGGATTACCTACATGGACCAATGGATGCAGCGACAAAGCTTAAGGTCACATTCAGGACCGGAGACGTAGGCCCTCGAGAACGTCGACGAAGACATAGGACGGTAGACGACAAAGACGACGAGTTCAAATGTGATTGCGGCTTCGAATGCGAAGACCATGTACACATAGTCGCGGAATGTCAGTTGTACGAAGAGGAGAGGGAAGTGTACATGACTGGGCTGGGAAAAATACAAGGGAGGTACAGGAAGATGTTTGAGGCATGGAACAGCGAGGAGAGGACGGTAGCTGTACTGGGGAATATGAAGTGGTTTGAAGAGGCAGGAAGGGATATCGTTAGGATAGACAGACTAGGGAAGACATTTTTGAGCCACCTTTGGCAAAGTGGGAAGGAACGATTGGCCATCGGTGATCGGTCCTGTGGGAACAGTGCTCCGTCCTCTCGAGGACGCGTGGTCAATGGTCTAACCGCTAAGGCATGCAAAGCAAAAGAGTACGCCCTCCCCCCCCCAACCACAACCAAAACCGCCTTCAACGTTCTCTCGTCGGACACAACTATCCAGCTCGCAATGACTGGTCCAAATGTTCTTGCGTCTGCTTCTGTGCTCGCCGCGCCTTGCTGTCGGTGTTGCTCTGCAACACGGTTGCTCCGAACCCGATGTTTGCCTTCTCCTTGCCCTTGGGTAGCAGCTTTACTGCGTTGGATGCCAGATGACCCACTGTCAGCGCGGCCTTGTATTGCAGCTCCTCGTCCGTGGACCGCGCGCGGCCAAGCCTGAGGAGGGCTTGGATGCCGCCCTCTTCGGCGATGCGGATGTGGTTCTCGAAGTTGTCGGCCAGCTTGAGGAGTGCAAGCCCGGCGTAATGGCGTGGCTCGGCCTCAACCGCCATCATGCTCACCAGGGGACGCAGTGCGCCGAGCTCCACAAGCGTAACCTTCGAAGTGTTGATTCGCGTAGAGGTGGTCGTACGAGACGGTTGGGGATAAATTTAAGGTTAGGTGTGAGCTGGATTCAATACTACAGTAAGGAAATATACCTGCAGTCACGGCAATTCTAGCTGAACCCATATTTTCCTGAATTGCAACTTCACTGAGGTCGGACCACACAAAACGCAGCACTACCTCCTGCACTAGAGGCTGCCCCATGGTATTACGCGACGCCGCTCAGACCTCCCTGGCGAGGAGGCAAAGTGCACACGTTTCGACCCCGACGGAGATGCGCAGTCGTCAGGCGGTGAGTAGTCCATCCGGCCGACTACGCCCCTGGGTATAAAAGCCTCCCCACGCACACAATTTACCTGGTACTCGTGGTTGCTCGACAAGTGCGCCAAGGAAAACGCTGCGTACTCTTGACATTCGACATCTTCAAGACTTGCGAGTGCCACCACCGCCTGGAGTCCACCTTCCCTCGCCAGGTCGTCGTGGAACTCTCTTGTCTCGCACAACAAGGCCAGGAAGTATCCGGCAGCGCGCTTGACCTCGATATCGCCGAAGCTGGCTTGGCCGACCACGTTCACGACGGCACCGAGCTCGACTAGCCTCGCCTTGACCGGGTCGCTCTCGCACAGGGAACCCAGCGCGTACACCGCGGTCCTCACGCAGTCGCCGTCCTCAGAGTTGACCAGCTCCAGGAGAGGGAAGAGCCCGTCCTCGTGCATAACCGCCGTTTTTGTCGAGCTGTGGGTGCCGAGGGCCACGGCATTCACGGCGAGGCACGCGCACCGCTGCACCTCGGCCTCCGGGAATCGCACGAGGTCGATGAGCGGCTTCAAAGCACCCTCCTCGGATATTCGAAGCTTGTTTGGGGGCTTACCGTGATCTCCCAGGGCCAGGCCGGCGATCGCGAGCGCCGCATACCGCTGTATCTCGAGGTCGGGGAACCGGGCCAGGAACGTGAGCGGCCGAACGGCCCCCTCGCTGACGATCCGCGCCTTGTGCTCCCCGGAAGACAAGTTGCAGAGCGCGAGGGTGGAGTATCGCTGGCTCGCGACGTCGAGAGAGCGGGCCAGCTGGAACAACGTCGGCAGCGCGCCTTTCGTGATGATGGCGTCTTTAACGTCGTCGCTGACGCTGAGGCACGCAAGGGTGCGGGCGGCATCGCGTTGGACGCGCGCGTCGTCGTGCATGCCAACCTTTTGAAGTATCTCGATGCCTCCCTCCCTCACCACGTCGCTCTGCAGGTCTAAAGAGTCCGCAAGGTTGGCGAGGGCGAAGGTGCAGTTTCGGACGACCTCGAGGTCCGAATAGAGGCAGCACGCCAGGATCTGGCCCAGGCAGCTCTCCCGCACCATCTTCTGCTTGTTTTCGTCGTTGAGGGAGAAGCTCGCGAACGCCGCGGCCGCGGTCCGCTGGTACTCGATGAGCGGGCTTTGCGCCAGCGCCAGGAAGGGCTTGATCAACCCGTCCCGGACAATGCTCACGCGCACCTCCGGATTGCTGCACAGGAACCTCAGCCCGAACGCCGCGTACCTCTGGCAGACGTCCTCGGTTGAGTTCGTCAGCCCCACCAACGCATGCAGACCGCCCAGCCTGTACACCAGGGTGTGGTTCTCTTCGTTGCTGCTGAGGTTGCTCAGCGCCCGGGAGCAGTCCTGCTGTATCTCGTCGTTCTCCGCCCTCGCGACCGCGACGAGCGCCTGCACCGCTCCGTCCTCCACCATGGTAACCTGGTTCTGGATTTCTTCCGACAGGTTGGCCAGGGCCGCGGCGAGCTGGCACTGGAGGTCCTCGTTCGCCCACTTGACGCAGCGAACGATTGGCCGTAGCGCCCCGGCCGACACGATGGCCTGCTTGAGCGGGTCAAGCATCGACAGGTGGCGCAGTCCCGCCACTGCAAGGATCTGGAGCTCGATCTCGCGTTCCAAGGCTGCGGAAACGAGGGCTTCGACCCCGCCTTCGTCGGCAATCTACGAAATACGTCGGCGAGAGTAAGTGACGTCATGTTCGGGTGTCAGAAGGGGATGCGGACACTTGGAGGGGGTAAGTCAACGTATTTCAAGTCTGGGTAGAACGGGCGTGTTTTTCTTGAGGGGTTTCGACCGAAAGGGGAAAGGATCTTGCAAGATTGGTGCCGAAAGAGCACCCAACGGCCTGAGCCTAGCGCAGCATCCCCTTTCATCAGCAAGACAGTTGTGCGCCCCGACATACGAAATACTTTGCTCGCGAAAACCTGCAAACTCACAACATGAGGCTGGACACTTGCGTTGAAACGACAAACTTCGCATGCTATTGCGAGAGTTGACCCGCTCAATGTGTTCTGGTGTGTGCGATACAAGTGGCAACAGGGCGAAAGGATCCATAGCTCCCCACCTTGAACTTGTGGTCGGCGTGCGCGCAAAGGTCTCGGAGGGCTGTCGCTGCCTGTCTCCTGGTCTTGAAGTCTTTAGCCTTGAGGAGGTGAAACAGAGCCTTGAGTCCGCCGTCAAAGCATATTCCGCGGTGGGATGCGAGGTTCGGCGAGAGCTTGCGGAAGCTCAGCGCGGCGTGGTACTGGCACTCTGGGTCGGTGCTCTCGGCGAGCGCGTGCAGCCCGGCGAGCCCCTGCTCGATGATGACGGCCTGGTGCTCAAAGCTAGTCAGTAGGTTGGAGATTGCCCGACTCGCCTCCCGGAAAACGTCAAGGGCGTCGTGCTTCATGAGCCCCGTCATCACCCTCCCTCCCCCCGACTTGGCGATGAGCTCGTGCGTGTCGATCTCTTCCGCCAGATTTGCAAGGGTGCCTATCGCCTGTCTCGCCGCCTCGAGGTCGCCCCCTTGAGATAGGACCACCAACGCGGGCACGCATCGTGCGGCAACCTCGACTCGGTCTTGCTCGCTGAGGGACAGGTTGCACAGGCACGCCGCCACCTGTTTCGTGGTTTGGTTGAAACGACGGAGAAAAAAAAGATAGCTTTGGGAGATAGATGAGTTGGTGTGAGGATCTTGAACACAAACACTCTGCTCCAAGGACAGCGACACTCAACGGAATACCTCAACAGCGCCAAACACTTAACCTAACGAACCCCGGAATAACATGATCTCGGACAGCGGTCATCTATGACGCTAGGCGCTTGCTTGGGTACTCATCATTGTTAGTCATCGGCGCATGGCAGGCAGGCAGTCACCTCTCTTTGGATTTCGACCTCGCCGCTCCGTCCTGCGCGGGCCAACGTGGCGAGGATTCCCGCCTCCACCAAGAGATGTCGGTTGTCTTGTGGAATGGCCATCCGACGCAAGGCTGCCATAGCGAGGCACTGTGCCACATGTCACATGGCCAGGGACGACGCAAAGGTGGAACTTGTGTTTTTGTATGGTTCAAAGAAGGCAGGCATTGTCGTGCGTCCATTTCTCCGACGGCGGAAAAAACTTACGACTGGTGTTACCGCATTTGTGAGCACTTGGCCGCGAACACAGCTAGGCCTCGCCTTCTTTCTCAAAACGAGATGCCCTGTAAAAAATCTCAAGCGGAAGCATTTGTAGACAACTATTTTCCCACAGAGGAAGCACAAGCGCGAGTCTATCGCAATGCAATCAATTGAACGGTGTCGCGGGTGTACTTGAGCGTGCGTGGACGCGAGCAACGACGAGCGTAAACCAGCTGTTGCGAATAAACTTCCCGCTGTCCGTGTTCTCGTTGTCTCTCTCTCTGTTTGATAACATGCGGCTCAAACAGGTCACAAGAATTTCAAAATACTGTGTTTCAGAATATCTCGGGGATTCTTACCAAATGGGAGCTGCGGTTGCTCCAATGGCGCAAAATTACAATGGGTTGAAACGAGCCCTCTATCTTACAGCGCCTACCCACCCAAGAGAATGTGCTAGACTCCAAAACGTTTGAGGCAACGCCTACCACCCGTGCTTGCTCTACATTCCTCTTACCTGAGTGTGAACGTTTGCGGAACCAGCAAGCTTGACGAGGGGATCAATCCCCCCCCTCGACCCGATCGCGTCCAAATAGTCCGCGTTGCTGGCGAGGTTCGCCAGTGCGAAGCTGGCGTACTCACGTACATCTACCTCCGACGAGTTGGACAACGCTACAAGGGCCTGGATCGCCCCCTTCGCCACAAGCTGGGGGTGATTTCCCTCGTTGGCGGCAATATTTCCCAAGGCCATCGCCGCCTGCCGCTGATCGTCTGGGTCGCCGCTCGTCACCATCGTCATTATGGGCGGGAGGCCACCGTGAACTACCACTTGTAGCTGTGACAGTGGTGGCGATTGTGGTAGTGGTTGTGTCGAGATGGGGGGGGGAGCGGTGGTGGTGTTGGCAATACGTGAGAGGCACACCACCGGAATGACTATTCATCTCACTGTTGGTGTCTTTTGTCCAGAAATTGATTTTCGGTGGACAAGAGGCTCAAATCAACTTCAATTGTGTTTCAAACTCTGCCACCCGGCAACACGCTCGCACCTTCAGCGCCGGTTCTGATCGGCCCGACTCCTTCACGCATTATCCCACCCTCTGCTGTCTTTGGGATGCGCATGCCGCGTTGCAGAACCACGCGAACAAAACGCTTACCCCCCCCCGATCGCTCAATCTCCACTGCTCACCTGCATCTGGTGATCGTTGGCCATGTTGCAGACGCAGGTGGCGGCGTACCTCCTGCACTCCCCGTCCCCGTCCGACGTTAGCCTCACGGCGGCTTGCAGCCCACCCCCCCGGGTTGCTGCCGCACGCGTCTCCGCGTTCGCGGTAAGGTTGCATAGCGTCATCACCGCCAGACGCTTGCAGTCCACATCAGGACAAGATGTCAGTCGAATCAGAGACGCCGGGCAGCCAGATTCGGCCATGACGATCTATTCGAGATTGGGGAGGGGATTCAAGGGACACGTTTGGGTTAGGGTTGGCTAGGGTTGGTTCAGCGCAACTGTAGGTACACGGCAGGTGCTCCCGAGGCCGATGCTCATACAGTAGGTCGACGGTGTGAAATAACTCCCAGCACGTCTCAAGTACAACCCCAGCTGTTGGAAGCAGAAATCCTGAAACTGCTCTCGTGTGAAGCGGAGGTTCAAACAAGTCCCATACCGTGCGCATTCCGGCAATCACCAATAGGCCTACAATCCTGCCCGACAAATGCCCGGCCGAACCTGGTTCGCCGCGGCGCAGCTAAGATTGTATAGGGCGAGGCCCGCTGCCCTCTGCATCTCAAGTCGCTCGCCGTCGAAGGCCATGTCACACAAGGGTTTCAGCCCGCCCGCGTGGACGACAGGCACGCGGTTTTGTCGGTGACAGGCGAGATTGGACAGCGTCATCCCGCAGTAGCGGCTGACGTCCAGCTTTTCTCGCCCCAGGGATGTGAGCCTCACGAGGTTGGGCAACGCGCCGGCCTTGACGATGTGGACCTGTTTGAGTCGAAGCGTGTACGAAATGCGCGTCGTCGTGGTGAAGGGGTGTGGCTCAGAATATTTGCTGGGACTTTCCACGAATCGAGGAAAAAAATGACACGAGCCTTCGTGATATCGCCGACCCCGGTGTGGAAATGGACTTCAAATGCACCATTGGTGTTTTCTGGCGCACCCGGGTGCGTTCAAACAGGCACTTTCCGCCGCGGTCCTGGTGCAAAGGTCGACTACCGGCAACTCATTCGGCGAAGAAAGAGCTGCGGAGCCGAAAATGATCAGTTTCCGAGTTAGGTTTGTTCGAACCCACAATATCGTGTTGCTGTGAGGCTACCTGGGTGCCAGCAGTTGTCCACGTCGGTACTGAAACACTGAAATTCCACCACCATCGTCCGATGCGTATACTGCCAACATGGAAAGACTACGACATACACATTTTGAGAAGACTGACCGCTAACACTATGCAGGTTGCGCTACACTTCCATCTCCGAAGAACAGAAATGCCGCCTTCTAGCGTTTGCTCGTATCGAACCTGATTCACTGCCAGGGTCGACAAGTTGCATAGGGTCATGGCGGCGTATCGCTTCACGAGGTCTGATTCTCCCTCCAGCATTTCGATCAACGGCGGCAAGCCGTGCAAGGATACGAGGGTCGACTTGCAGTCCTCGTGGGTGGACAGGTTGCAGAGCGTCATCGCCGAAAACCTTCGTGACAGCGCGCAAAAAAAGGCGGCGACAATGCAAGCTTGTCATGTACACTTGCAAACACTGTCTATGTGCTTTTCTGACCGTGCCCAAGTTAAAAAACAATGCTCCTGCTCGGACGAATACCCGCAGGCGTGAAGTTGTCGACATCGTTCTCCCTTGTGCCATAGTTTTCCTATCACGACTGAGCTCACGCGAGTATCACACACATGCGTTTGTTCCTTTTTTTTCGGGCGTTTTTTGTGCAAGGGAAGAACTGATTGTGAAGACTATATGACGTTTAACTTTTGAAAAGTACTTCGAATAGCGACAACAGTGGCACGGGAGTAACTCGTGCTTGCTCGCCCTGGAACGGACAACGCGCCCTTCCCAGGAAGTGACAATCCAGATGAAACACTTGTTAAACCAAACCCAATTCAGCGCCCACACTGCAAAGAAAGAACCAAAATGAAGAACCAGATCCCAGCCCACCCACCTCGCAACCTCAGCGTCAGGGCTGCGAAGCCGCCGAACCAGGGGCGGCAACGCCCCGTCCGCCACAATTTTCGGCTTGTTGTCCGCGTGGGCGGCCAGGCGGTACAGTGCTCGCGCCGCAAACTTCTGGCACGATACGTAGGGGTTGCCGCTGAGCATGGCCACGAGAGGGGGGAACCCGCCAGCGTCTGCGATGGCCTGCTGGTTCCTGGTGACGACCGCCAGGTTTCCCAGGGTTATGGCGGCGTCACGGACGCACTTCTCCTCGGCAGAGCTGGCGAGGGAGAAGATGGCACGGAGATCGTCTGCGTTGAAGACGCCAACCTGGCAGCAGTTGTTGTTGGTTTGGCATGTTATGGCTGGCCTTGGGGGCAGGGTGCATGCGTGTGTGTGATGGATTGTTGGGTGACAAATGCTTCTAGAATGACCCACTTGTTTTAGTGGCGTCTTGAGATTTACGAGGGATGCAGCACTCTACAAGCAGAAACTCCAGATACTTCCTAACTACCGTCCTTGCGGGGACGAAAATGTGTGAAGTTCAGAACATTTGACTCAGAAACACTTCCATAAAGAACCTGGGCCTAGCACACATGCAGTACATGTGTACATCCAGTCGCTAATGTTATTGATCTCGACTTGCCTGGCACTGGGCGTTGGAGCTTATCGAGGCATACGCCCTCGAAACGTCCACCCTCACGCCCTCGTCATCCACGCCGGACAAGATGATCAGCCTCGGCATGATGTTGTCTTTTACGAGAGTGACCTGTTTTGGTTGTTTGGGCCACGCGGGGGCAACGGGTGAGCACTGAGCCGTGTAGAAAAAGAACTTTCAATTCACTCTTTTTGTGCGCCCCATATGAGACGGAATCTCAACGACTGCCGATTTGAAGATGAATTAGTTTTCGTTTGTGAGAGAAAATACGGCCTTCGTTTCACCGTGATCATGTGGCCGTTCCCCTTAAGCATTTTGCCTAGGATCGAAAACCAGCGAAACGAATGGCGTTGGGTACTGTTACGGGAGTGTAGTGGAGAGACGTACTGTTCGGGGTCGGGGTTGCCTGAATGGGTACCTGGTGCCCCATTGTCAAAGAAGTTTGAGGCTGAGGAATGAGAACCCGGTTCTCTCGAGAAGAGGACACGTCGCGTTACCAGCTGTGCTGAGTGGCAGATGCAAATAATGAAAACCCTCGTCGGTACGATATGAGACGCCAAGCTTCAACGGGAAAGGCAGGAGCGGATAATGAACTCGACGCCAAATTGATGCTTGCCTGCAACGGGTTACCCAACGTGGTGGAATGGTTCAAGCGACTGGTGGTCGCTTGCCTATTTACTCAACCTGATCAGAACCTTCTTTTGATATTCCTCTTATGCTCGTACGATATTCGGCAGTGATGCGCATGTTCAAGAATGTCGGCGTGTCCTCCCTTCCTGCCTTGAAATAGAACACTCTGTTCGATATTTTTCCTTTCGTGCGTATCAAACACACCGCTAGACTCGTGGCTCGGCAACGACCAGCCAGCATCAGATAGGGCGCACAACCTCTGTGATTCGCTACAGAACTGGCGCTTCTTCAGCTCACGACCTACCCCAATTCACTGCAAGTCGAAACACTCACAGGGCGGCGCGGGACTAGCATGAAAGCGATACTCAAACCTTCTGGTTGGTTACCCTTATTTTAGACGCTTCATGTTTTGGCTATTGGCAGCACACAAAAACATGAAACTTTCTTAAACCTGGTTTCGCGCGTCTTCAGCAAGGTTAGAGATTGTTCCAGCACACTGGCAGAGCAGGTCGAGGCTGTCGGAACCCTCGTCGACGCACCTGGTACGGCGGTTTCGACGCGGTGAGAAGAGACAACGCGCTCAAGTATTGAAGTGTATCAAACAGTCTGTGTGGTACACTATACTCTAACGCAACAAACAAGAAGTTTTTATGTGATTCCACGCGAGAATCATGACGAGGAATTACTCAAGGATGAGGAGAACGGAGTGGAAGAGAGGGAGCATACGCTGGCAAGGAATAGCTATGAACTTGGTGCCCCAACACAGCTAATACATGCTATTGTTGGTTGTTGGATTCGAGAGAGGAAGACGAAGGAAGAGAAAAGATTGCGTTCGGCACATGAGAGCAAGGCAATCATGGCGGCGTAAATTTACCTCAGGATTGACCCGAGAGCCCCTTCTTCCACCATAGGCCGTTTCACCCTGGTGTTGAGGCTCAGGTGTCGGAGGGCGCCAGCTGCGAGGATCCTCAGCTCGAGGTCCTCGCAGCGTGAGAGCGCGACCAGAGCTCGAAGCCCCCCCTCCCCGGCGACGGTGACCTGTGTGAACGGAAGATTACCATTGCAATAGACAACACAAGTCGAGGTATACGTTCTCCTTCAGGAAAACTCACGAAATTGGGAGGGGCACGGTTTTTGGGGTTACATGAGTGATGACACGAACGGAGGCCAACACAAAGAACTTAGTGCGCAGTAATGATCGACACACACAGAGTGGGGTGGTGAACGTGCAGCGAAAAGCACCGCACAGCACCCTGGTACGGAAAACGACCATTCAAGGACTATGACGATTGCGTGCGTGTCGGTAACGATCGGGTTTGCTGGAACATGCACAACGGTCAGCCGCACTCGTACGTGTTTGGTGTGTGTTTCGCAAGCGCATACTTGTCCATCATTGGTGCTGCTTCCGGATACACACGAGAGTATTCAGAACTCCTCGTTGATCTCTTGCTACAGCTCTCTTGGTTGCCATTGCAAATGCTCTCGCCTATAGCATCGGTACTCCAATCGACACTCTTCCTTTGCTGTCCTGTGCTGTACAAATGCCTTCAAACACCGCACAAAACTAGACGACCACAAGCGGATATGCTTGTAGAGACTAGTCTGCTACTCGAAGTGCATGTTTTGCTTTGTCGAATTTGTTGGAACACCATAATACATTATCCGCACAGTCACCACGGCCCTAATTTATGCAAAGCTCGCCAGATGTTTCTCTCCACCAGAACAAGAACAGCACAGCCCGACTCTAACCGCCAGGCTTCAGCACCAAAACAGACAAACGAGACCATGGCACAAAGGCAAGCTCACCTTGTGATCCTTATTGGAACACACGTCCCTCAGCGCCGCCGCCGCCTGCCTCTGCGTCCCCATCCCCCTCAGCTGCACCAGGCCGAGCAGTGCCTGCAGCCCGCCGCGCCCTACGACGTAGTCGTGCGTGTGCCGGTCGGCGCAAAGCTTGCGGTAGATGACGGCCGCGTTGTACTGACACTCGTCATCCAACGACGTGGCCACCAAGAGCAGACTACGTAGCCCGTCCTTTCGTTTCAGGCAGGTTTGGGACAGGATTCGGTGCTTTAGGCGGCAATAGCCGGTCGAACGTTTAATGCAGCACGGCTGAGGCGACCAGAAACGCATGAGAATGGGCGTTTTCTCAAAATTCCCGCCACTCTGCACGTTGCGAGGTGGAGCCTCAGCATTCTGGCGGATGCTGACTGCGTTGCACTCACAGCTGTCCCCCAGCGATGCTCACGAAATGCATCACGCACGCTGCGCAGCTCGTTGTTATTTGGGCCTCAAAAAAGTATTCCTTGTCGATGGTTGGACGTTTCATCGGCAATGAAAACTGGCAGCACGCTTAGGTGGGTGGAAGACGTAACCGTTCTCCCTTCAACCCTCCGACCCCACCCTTTTCGCCTCAAGTAAGACACAACGCGCATGAAAGCTGCGAATCGCCACCACCGCGTACCTCCGAAATGAAGTCTCTGTGAGCGTCCCGATGGGTGAGGAGGTTTCCACACGCCCGAGAGGCTTCCCTGTGGACGCTCAGGTGCCTGCTCCTCATGAGGAATACCATGTAGTGCATCGCGTTCGTTCGCGACAGCAGGGCCGGGTGGGTCGAAGAGTCTTCGGCAGCGTTGGCCACTGCTCCACACGCAAGTCGGGCCACCTGGAGCACAGGGTAACAATGGGCATTTCTTGGTTAATTTTCGGACTCGCAACCAGCAGTAGCAGCAATTGCGGCCGGTCGGAAAGCGGCGGAACTAAAAACAAAAGCTGCGCGATTCAGGCGCGAAAACTCCACGCGAGGCCCGTCGAGCTTGTGGACGCGCGAAAAGGAATCTTGTGTGTCCTTCACCCAGTTTCTGAAACGTTCAAGTGCGATGGGAGAGGGGTACCCGCCCTGCTCGATTGGCGCGTTGGTCACAACCCTGATGCCTTTCGTTGCACAGAGGATTGTACAAAAGACCAAGATTCCGAGCGGAGCTACTCCGCCGGTGGGAAAAACTCTCAACCTGTGGCCAAGGAATTTACTGCTTTGCCGGGCGTGAGCGATAGTAGTCAAGTCCAGTACCTCGACATCCGCGCTCTGACACATGAGCATGAGCGGCTCTGCAGACCCGCTCTCAGCAAGGGGCAGTTTGTTCTCGTACGGCACGGCCACGGCGCAGAGGAGCGCCGCCGCCTCTCTTTGGTTCTCCACGCAGCCCACCTCTTCGCAGACGTGCTTGAGAGCGTCCAAAACGCCATCCTGCACGTTTTCAACGGGAAAGCAGCTTTCTGTCGTCGGGGTTTCTCGATGTAGAGGTTTCACGATGTTGCGCGCCTTTCAAATGAAAAAACAAAATAGCCGTGCAGAAAAGCAGCTACTCTTTCGCCAGCTCATGGTTGCCATCAACACAACGACAACGGTGACAAAACAGCACGCCTAGAAGAGGGAAAAAACATGGAAACAAAGGCCTATCCGTGGAAGAAGGCCACGGAACCGGTAGACAAGCCGCATAACTTGAAAAACAGAAACAAGGAAACGTTGCGCCACAAGAAAGTTACTTACCCTGACCATCCCGACGGCGTTGTCCGCATTGGAGGCCAGCCTTCGAAGAGCCGACACTGCCTGCCCGGTAGTGTTGAGGTCCCCGCTCGAGCCCGAGCCCACCACAAACACGAGGGGCTTCGGGACGCCTTTTCGTCCCATGACCTGCTGAATGGTTGGTAGGTACCCGCATGCAACCTTGAGACTTCTGCAGGTGAACGCTTCTCATTCCCGGGAGGCACACCTTCCGCCTTGAACAACCTTGCGCTCGTTCCTTCGTTGATATGGCTTGTTCGGTTGCAACTCCTGTAGGTGTTTCATGACCTCAACATGCCTGCGACCAAAATATGTGTGCTCCAGGGGTTTTTCAACAGACCTTCGTTTACGTATGGTTCCGGAGAATCGGTTCATGCAGCAGAGACAACGATAGCGTTGGGAGTGCAGGTGTGCCGACGTTTGACTATGGGTTGCGGGCTAAAAGCCCGGTAACATGAGACCAGAGCAAGTGCCACCATTCCCAGCACTTTCGACCAGCACTTTCGACAGGAGTGCTTGAACATGCGCCACTGTTTTTGAAATTGGCGTGCTTTCTTTCGGCTGCACGAGAGGTAACACGGAGAGCATATCGCGGGATGGGTCAGTAAGATTAATTGAAGACCGTCTGTATTTTCGTCGGAGATTGCAAGGGTCCTCGCTGTCAACACCGAACGATAACCAACATTCGTCACATCTCATCGCCTATAGCGCCCACCTCGTGATTTGCTTCGCTCATGGCGAGCTTGTTCAGGGCGTAACAGGAGTTGAAAACGGTTTCATCATCGTCGCAGTCGAGGGCGGAGCTGAGCCCTTCCAGGCCGTTGGCTGCAATAATTTCGCCGTGGTTCACGGTTGCCACGGCAAGGTTCCCTAACGCCAGGCAGGCGTATCTGTTCGAGATGATTGTGCGTATGCAGGCTTGAGAAGCTTCAGCGAAGCTACGGTCTTGACGTTTGGTACAAAGTCAGCCCGCCCAATGAAGGACGGGTGATTGAAGTGCAGTGCTCGTTGTCGTCAGTTTTTCGAAAGTTATTCTTCGAGTCGAAGTTGAATGGGGCAGCTGTCCAACGCATGCTGCACAGGCGAAACCATACCGTAGAAAAGATACGGACTATTTCACGTACAACCTCCGAAGTCCGCAGTGAGATTTCGGGCTGTTCACAGAGGAAAAAACCAGCCAGAAACATTGCACGGCAAAGAACTCGTGGAACAACAACGAATGTTGGCCGTCCTTGACGAAGTGTAGGCGGTCATTCCGTGAAGCCAGTTCCGCCGTGCGATATTACTTTCCAGCCTTTCTGAGGTAGTGTTCTAGTGTTTTTTCCTTCACGCTGTCTTTGTTTTGAAGTCTACCACCAGTGCCTACGTTGGGGTGCTCCTGTGATTCATGTTCGTATCCGTTGCTTACGTAAGTTTGTGCAATGCGTAGCAATGATACAGGAAGACAACAAGCAACATCTGTGATCAGGGGTCCAAGAAATCGGACTGAAATCGGACTGGCGTGTCATGTCAACAAAGTACCATATGCTAAAAACAATTGTGACGCCTTCCGGAAAAGTCAAAACCCTTGGAACAAACCTTCTACAGTCCACGTCGTATCCAAGGAGTCGAATCATCTCCTCGTCGAGCCTCGGCTCTCGCAATGGGTCGGCCATGCCTTCCACGTCTATGGTGCCGTCGTCGCGAAGGAGGATAAAGCGTCGTGTGTCCCCGGCGGCGAGCTGAACCAACGGAATCATCGCCCCGGCGGCGCAGACCCGTCCGTGGTTGCCACTCTGCATGCAGAATGCATAACACGGTACATGAAATGGGGGCAGGCATACTCTTGTATTGCTCATGCTTTTAGGAAGACATTTGGACTAAGTCTGTATGTTGCGGAAACCAAAACTGCCGTCGAAACGTGTTAGTTAGATGTCGGTAGGTTGGCAGCAAATATTGGTACTATCCCTCGAGGCAAATCGCCAGCGACTACCCTTGTGTAAACCAACAAGTTGTATACCCTAGGCGCAGAAGACTCTGGGTCATGGAACCAGGGAAGCTCCCGGCGGTTTCTAGGGGACTAAATACTTGGACAGAGAGGGAATGTTTTTGAACATCCTCCAACGCGGTTTCAAGACATCCCGCTCACCTGCCCCGCCAGGTTGGCCAAGCCGAGAGCGGCAAACCTCGCCGTCACCGCGTCCACCTTCTTCAACGACCCCACCAGCGCGTCCGCAACGCCGCCGTCGAGCAGCTTATCATGCGTAGCATAGTTGCCCGCAAGGTTTGCCAAGCACCGGGTGGCCTCCCTCACGAACCCCACGTCCGTACCCCCCGCCTCCCCTGACGCCGTACGCCCGGTGTCATCACCCCCGGTCGAAATGTCACCGTCGATATTGTGATCCTCGCTCGCAAGGCCTTCGCCGCCGCTTCCCGGCGGCGGCGATCTCTTCAGCGCCAGCTCGCTCAAGAAGCTCGCACCCCAGCCCAGCAGGCGCTCGTGGGTGGCGTCGTTCTCGCTGAGGTTTGCCAGGGCTCCCACCGCGTTGCGCACGCAGGACGGGTCGTCGCTGCGCGCGAGAGCGACCAGATCGGTGGCAACCTCGGCGGTGGCCGCGTTTCCTCCTTCTCCACCGCCGCCATCCAAGGTGCCGCCCACCCCGGCGACGTCCAACTTGTTGAGCTCGTTGAGCGACAGGGCGAACAGGAGACGGGCGGCCTCTCTTCGGACCTCGACATCGTCCTCGCACCTGGTGATGCGGCCGCGCGAGCCGACACATCAGCGCGGCTGACGAGCTTATGTTGGAGAGGCAGACAGGCAATGGCTGGCAGCCCAACCGCTCGGTGTTGAGGTTGGCAGCGGGTGTTGTTGGAAGGCCAAACAGTAGGGTGGCACAGGGGGAGAAACATTTTTTGCCTAATATGTTGTCATACCGAAGTGCAAGCGCTGTGGCGGGGGACATGAATGCGCAGGTGTTTCTCACCTCGCCCCCAAGCAGAACGCCTCCAGGGCTCCGGCTTCCACGACCGCTCTCCGGTGGTCCGGGTCGGCGGAAATCGCCCTCAGGGTCGCCAGCGCCGCCCGCTGGTCGACGGGGTGATCGCTGCACGCGAGCGAGATCAGCGGCGGCAGTCCCCCCTCCGAGATGATCGCCCCCCGCCGTGCAGGGTTGGCCGAGAGGTTGCACAGGGAGTACGCGATGCAGCGCTGGGTCTCCAAGTCGGCGGCGTTGGCGATGGTGATGAGAGGGGTCAGAGCCCCGCCCCGGACGATGGGGGCCTGGAGGTTGACGTCGGAGGCGATGTTGCCTAGAGTGACCGCCCCGAAGAGGCGGTAGGTGACGTCGGCCGAGCACAGGAAGGAGACCAAGTTCCCGACGTCCACCGCCTTGAGGAAGCGCGCCGGGTCTTGGCCGATGCACCCGGATAGGGACAAGTTGCACAAGGCGGCGAGAACCTACGCACACAAACACGTGTTGTTGTTTTTCCCGTTTGGGCGGTATGGAGGCGCAGGAGCTGGTAGTGAAGAGTAGACGGGGGAGGGGCGAGGCAATATTAACGGGTGACCTGCAACGGTGTTCAGGGTGAGTGACCCTGGCGGAATGAACAGAATCAGTAACACGCATACCTCCATCTGAATTTCGACGTCGTCGCTGCTGCTGAGCCGTAGCAGTGGCACTAGACCCCCCCGGGCGACAATCTGGGTGCGCAGCTCTTCGTCGACGGAAAGCCCTCGGAGAGCAGAGGCCGCTCGAAGCTGCGCCTGTAGGTGTGCCGAATCGACGACGTCAAGGCGTCAAGGAGAAGGGTTGAGCAAGAAGATCGGGGTTGTGTGTTGCGTTGGAGATATTGCCGTCGCCGCATATGGGTTCATGGAAGCCACGAATAAACCATGTCTCGTGTGACGCTCAACATCCGAGGTTGGAACGGTCGGCAGCGTAATATGCTGCCAGACAACGGAGCACACAATACCACGTTCTGTGGGGTTGTGCGGTGCTGGTTCGTTCCATCCCCTAATCTCACAGAGTAGGAAACTAAGGTAACCAAATCAAGCAGAGAAACAGGCGGGCCAAAACTGACGAAATACTCCACGGCACACACACACCTGCGGGTCTGACGACGCGACGAGGTTAATCAGCGGCCCCAACACCCCCTCGTCCATCAGCGTTGCGTGGTTGTCGGGGTTAGACGCGAAGTTGCCAATGCAGAACGCCGCCGAGTTCCGGATCTCGACGTCGTCCGCCTCCAGCAGCGCGGCCATGAGCTCGCACACGCCGGCGCCGATCAAGCGCGAGTGGTTGCTCCGGGTGGCCGCGACGTTCGTCAGGGCGAACACGGCGTACCGCTGGGATTCGAGGTCGCCGTTGTCCCGGCGACCTAGGGACAGGAGGGGCTGCAGGGCTCCCTCGTTAATGATCTTCTCTTGGTTTCCGAGGTTCGTGGCCAGGTTTCCAACGCCCATCCCTGCGTAGCTGTTTGTTGTTTACGCGACGGATTGAGGTTGTTAGCGGGGTGTTCGTTCATGTGTTTGTAGTGGAGTCAGCACGGGAAGGTGAACATGTCCGCATGGCGCGTCTGGGTGGTGGTGGATGCGACAGCGCACGTCGGCCTCAATCTGACCAACGGTTGTTGTATTGGGCTTTCCTGGACAAAGGCTTGCTTGGAAACACGTCCTTCGTCGACCATGACCAAAATTGAAGTGCATGAGATTGCGCGTTTGCAAAAATACACTCGCTTCAGCAGACCACGTCGAAACTCGACTTCACCACATTTCAGCTGACTCCTAATCGTCCCGACTATCTATATGGGCTCATGGCGGAAAAGACGAGAAAAGAGGGAATCCGACGGCCCTGTCGCACCCCCAATATCTACCCTTCCCCGCCCCCGCCGTCTGCGATCTGTTCTCACCGTTGGCACAGGAAGTCCGGGCTGCTGAGCATCGCGACGAGCGGCATGATCGCCCCGGCCCCGGCGAGGACGGCGGTATACGCGTACTCGGCGCTGATGTTGGCAATTCCCCTGACGGCTTCTCGCTGCACGTCCACCGACTTACTCCTCATGACGAACTTGAGGTGTTGGAGCACGCCTGTCGCGAAAGTGTGGTTGGGTGGCCAAAAACATCGGGAACACTGGTTAGATGAAACTCCTTCGATTTTGATGAAATTTATCTAGGACTGGGTCGCCCTTATGTGCCTCATGCCTTCCTGGACCTAGGTGGACTGGGGCTGTTACAAGTGTTACCTCTTTTGGGGTTGTCAATGGCCAAAGTATGTGGCCAACGAATCGTTATGTTACCGGTGGGGCTACTACGGAAGTGGAGGTATCGGCTAGAGGTAAAGATGTACGTGAGTAGACAACATGCGGCGGCGTACGCCGCATTTCTGTTGTCATTTTCTTCTCCTGGAAAATGTTCTGCCTCTATCCAGCACAGTGAGGGGGAGCGTCAAATAAGGGGCGGTGCCCGCTTTACCGCCGGCGAGGTCGTTTCACGCAGGCCCGACACTGATGCCCATCCATGGTTATCACGACTTGTACTAAATCACCCAGATCCTGAAGACACAATACCCCCAACAGAACACAACACCCGGTGATAAGATCTATTAAACCCATGATTATTTTTCCAGAGTTAGTTATTTTGTGTGGAATACGGTAATGCTTGAAGCTGCTTGGCGAGACAAAACTACCTTACCCCAACCCGAGCTACAGCGGCAACAATCAGAATGATTTCGTGGCGACATATTACTCTGACTGTTATGCCCTAAATTCCCGAAACAACAATCGTTGCTGTAGAAGTAACTCTTGGTGGTTTAGGTATCGTCACCTGATTCGACCATCTTGCCCTGGTTTTCCACCACTTCGGCCAGGTTTGCCACAACGCCCGTGCCTTGGTGAGCCGTCTCCACGTCGGCGCTGTGCATCATTTCGATCAGCACTGGCAGTCCTCCTTCCAACACGATGTCCACTTTGCTGCAGCAGCCGTGAGTCCGGGTGGAACGTGCGAACGTACGACAACAACAGGTCAGCTATGGCGATGCGTGTGCCTTTGCCCCGCTTTTGTTTTGTATTTCCCCCACCGACCGTGGCACCGGACTTGATGGGAGACAAATCATCGAGTACGTACAAGCCTGACTATTGCTCGCCCGCCAATACCAAGCCTTGAGAATTGAGGCTGCCGAGTTTCTTGGCCCCCTCAATACCTCATCCCTACCGATGACAAGTACAGTAGCGAGACACGACAGCAGCAACTAAAGCGATTTGCGGGTTGTTCTTGGCGCAATGAGAAGGCGAGAGAAAAAAAGACAGGATCTCCGGTTTAGTAGACGCCCTGCGGCGGACACGCCCTCACCTGTGCTCAGACAACGATATGTTTCGAAGGGCAGCAGCGACTTCCCTCAGCACCTCCACGCTCTCGCTCTTCCCAAGCCTTTGTTGCCACGGCCGGTACAAGAGACAACAAGCAACAGAAAACGCACTTGGTGAGCGAGAGTAGGGCGGGACATAAGGCTCTCAGGGGGGTTGGGGGGGCGTAGGGCAGGATACCGTGGGAGACGAACTCGAATTCATCCCACAAAAATGCTTATTCACGCAAGATGGCTTCGCACCGTCAACCCATGAAAAAAAACAATGGAAAACATGCCACCTGGAAAAAATAAGTGGGAATTCAGACGCCCGTTCCCCTCCGCGGTCAATTCCCTTACACCGTCCCCAGTCCTTTACCGAGTAAAGGGGGCGATCCGACCGTCTCCACCTACAACCAATCCTTCTGGCCCTCGCAATATGAACATTTCGGAAGTATCTAGTCCGGAAGTATCTCCGTCAGCAGGAAACCTTGACGCAACACGGCTAAAATGACCCCCTTCCGCCCGCACTCCCCGCTCCCACCCCCTTGCCTGAGCAAAGGGGGAAGCCCCTTCATTTCCACCAGCTGGGAGCGGCATCTCGCGGTGACGCTCAGCTGCCTAATCGCGAACACGGCCTGGAGGTGCGTGTTGGCGTCGGGGTCCTTCAGGAGTTGCACCAGCGGCCGCAACACCCCGGCCCGCTCGCAAGCCCGGTGGTTCGGCTCGAAGCTCGCGATGTTGTTGAGCGCGAAGGCCACGCAACGGCGAGTCTCTATGTCCTCCGCGGCGTACACGGCCTCCATGAGAAGGCTGGAAACCCCGCCGGCCTCAAACAGCGTCTGGTGGTTCTGGGTCACGACGGCGAGGTTGGCCAATCCCAAGACACCGTAGCGCCTCGCACCCGGGTCCGAGCTGCGGACAAAGCTCACGAGCTTGGGGACGACGCCGCTCCGGACGAGGTGGGCCTGAGAATCTCGCTTGGAGGCAAAGAGAGCCAGCGCCCTCGCGGCTTCTTCTCGGACTTCAACCTGGCGTTAGTTCGTGTTGGCGTTGGTTGGCACTGTTGTTGGCGTGCGACTGTCGCTGTTGAGTGATAGGGGACACGTTGGTATCTAAGTTGCGGGTTATACGGCTTGGCAGTGGAGTGGCTTTGGGTTGGAATTGTCGGGAACGTTTTTCGGACACTCATTGGGTGGGCCTGTAGTGCTGCCCGGTCGCAAGACGCTTCCCTCTTGTCACTGCGTCGCTTCAAGGATGTTTCGTTGTTGTTGCGTTCTAGACTGCTCTCTTGCCGAATATTGAACTACTTCTCAGAATTAGGGTATGTGAGAGGAGTGCAAGGAACACACGTGCGGTTCTGCGCAATCTTGAAACAGTATTATGCCGTTTGTCAGGGGAGAAAACTACCAGGAAGTGCTGTGTAGCTTCGTGAACCCCATACAGGCTGTTCGTTCTGCGGGTAATTGGGTGTAATATTTTGGATCGGTCCTCATATTCCAACAACTCGTAAAGTGGCGCGAGCTTGACTCTGTATGATGAATGCGAAGACGGAGGCCGACCTCGTCCACATGTATAGTATCCGTTGAGGAACTTAGCTCTGAGCGAAACCAAAGGAAAGTTATCCCCTCCGCATACAAATACACGACCAAGCCGTCATCGTCTCACGTCCGGGCAGTCCACGAGCCCAAGCAGGGGCTTGATGCAGCCCTCCTCGATCATTCGCTTCTGCGTTCGTCCTTCCACCATCTCCGCAATGTTCGCCATAGCCGCTACCGCATGAATCTGCCTCTCCCTGTCGCCACTTAAGCACAGGTGGGATAGCGCCGGGAGAACCCCGCTTCTAGCCATCGCCACCTTGTCCCATCGAAGCGACAGCGTCATAGCCAGTTGCATATGCAGAGAGGTGAGGGGTGGGCACGCGAGACTACCGACTGTCCACTAGAAGAGGCGTCGACAATCCGGTGAATGTAACCGGTTACAGACTAGACGATCGGTGTGGAACATAGGCACAGCAGCAGTAAACCTGAAGGGCTGGACCCTTGACGCGAAGCGCAATTCCAAGCGAACAGTAACCGGAGTGCGCTGATTTTGCGCTCCACCTAGCTTGCTCTCCGAACCGATACCTTGTTCTCCTCGGCGAGGGCCAAGTTGGCGAGGGTAGCGGCCGTCTCCCGCTGCACCTCAACCGAGTCGCATTTGGCCGCGAGAACAAGGGGCTCCAGCCCCCCGTCCCTGACCACCTGCATCCGCAGTGTCTGGTGGGTGGAGATCCCCCGCAGGGCCGCGATGGCCTGAAACTGAACGTTCACCGAGGTGTCGGTGGAGGGGAAAGCGTAGGTGATGAGGGTCTTGAGGGCGCCGCTCAACACCACGGCCTCCAGGTTGTCGGGGTTGGCGCAGATGTTTCCCAGGGCGAAGACGGCGTGCTGCCGCGCCTTGATGTCCTGGTGCTTGCTGAACCCTGCCAGGGTCTCCAGGCACTGGGACATTATCACGCCGTGGTTCTCGCGGCTGACGGCAAGGTTGGCGATCGCCAGAAGGCAGTACCGGATGGTTTCGTGGTCGCACTTGGATTTGTTGTCCAGCGCGTTCCGGGTCTCCGCCGTGATCGGCTCTAGCAATCCTGCTTTCAACATCTTCGGCTGGTTCTTAACCTGTTGGGGTTGGTCGGCGGGTGCTATGTGGTCAGTTTTGAGATGATACAAAGCCATGCGGGGATGATGACGGGGTTTTGGCGGCGATGGTGCTCTTTCCTTAATTGTTTGCGTTTGAGCGTTTAGGTCCCATGGCCTTTGGCAAAACGTCTGTTCGAACCGCAGCATGTGCCCGATGCCTCCAACAGCCAAAATCGGGAGCTCTATACGCCCCCCGTGCTGTCAGGGGCGAGGTCTGCACGACGGCCCCCTTCCTCCGAAGAAAAATCGTTGCCCATATGATACGAAAGCCGAACACAACGGCAGCCCCGCATGCAGGTTTGAGGTGAGACTGCAGAGCAAAGAAATTCGTATTACCGTTACTATTGTACCCAAGGCTAAGCTGGAGTCGCCCCTTGAGGGACATGGCACAGGAGGCTGGAAAGCAAACACTTCTTCAGGTTTTGCGTTTCATCATAATCGTTCCCCCAGAAAGAAGAGCTTTGGAAACATCCATGTGCTCACGTTAGAGCTGAGATTGCAAAGAGCCATTGCCGCCATCCTCTGCACGAAATGGTCTTCCGATCGTATCAGCGCCATGAAAATGTTCAGTGCCCCTTCCTTCAAAATGGCATCGCCGTGCTCCAAATTCGCCGCCAGGTTCCCAAGAGCCCGCGCGGCCTCTCTCGAAACCAGCGGGGATGAAGATCCGAGTGCCTTCTCCGTCAAGATATTGTATCGTCGACGATCCAAGCAGAGAGCGGGAGGGTTTTATTTGGGATTGCGTGAGGGCATCCGCGGGGGTTGCACGGAAATGTTTTACATCGTACAAACAACAAACCTGTCGATAGGCGTTTGAAACCGTGAGCCGCAGCGCTTGTGCGTTTTAGCGAGGTATGGAAAGCCCTTGCACTAGGCGATCGATGCCTGTGCGCCGAAGACGAACGTCACCGGTGTGTTTCTTGTGAGACACTCGCCGACACTTAACTTTCTACTCCACGTATCGCCAAGAATAAGTTGTATCACCAAACAACAAAACAAGCACATACCTGGACTAGAGCCGGGATCCCGCCGGCGTCCACAATATTGTCCATATTCTCCACCATTTCACACAGGTTAGCGCACGCGCAGCACGCCATCCGCGCGGTCTCCACGTCGGGGGACTTAATCGCGCTCATCACGGGGGGCAGGCCTCCGTACTTGGTGATGTTGATCTTGTTCTCCTCAGAAAACGAGAGCGAGCACAGGCAAGCGAGAGTTTCCCGCTGAATCTCGGGCTCCTCCGTGCGTGCGAGGTACAGGACCGGCTCGAGACCCCCCTCTTCCGTGACCTGCTTGCGGACGTCGCTGTTCTGCCCCACCTTCACGAGGGCATAGGCTGCGTACTGCCGTACCTGTGATGATGTGATGTGAAGTAAAGTGAACAACGGGCAACGTCGAAACTGAAGATAGGGTCTGAAGGTTCTTCCGAGCACGAACGAAGCCCACTTTCGCGTTTGGCAGTAGCAACACATTTCGTCCAAGCGCAAAGTGGTGGCCATTGGTAGCCATCCACAAACCGACGTCATTTGTGACAAAATACTGCGGTCAGCACCAAGTCTCGGGCACCTTGAAATACGTGTCCGTAGGTTTTGCCCCATGCAAAACACGGGACTGAACGTACCCACCTCCGGGTCTGGTGCGTTCGACAATGAAATGAGCAGCGTGAGCATGCCTTCCTCGATGAATGCGACGTGATTGTCCACGGAAATGGCCAGGTTGGCGATGGCGAGTACGGCGTAGCGCTGAATCTCGAGCTCGATGTCCTCCGACCTGGCGAGCGAGCACAGAGGCTCGAGCGCGCCGGACTGCATCATCACTACCCGAAGCGTGTCGTGGGTGCACAGGTTCCCAACCCCGAGTGCCCCCACCCTCTGCGAAGCTACATCCTGGCTCAGGAGGTACGATATCAGAAGCTGGTGCCCCCCCGCATCGATGATGGGCTCTCTATACGCGGTGCTGGCGCAAAGGTTCGCGAGCAGGCGGCCGGCCTCCCTCTGGACTTCAACGTACCGACTTCGCATGGCGAGGATGGCCGGGCGGATTCCTCCCTCCCGTGACACCACGACCTGGTTCTCGGGGATCTCGCACAGGTTGGCGAGGCAAGCGGCGGCCTGTGACGCTGAGGACATATCCTCGCTCTGCATGTGGTGTATCAGGGGAGGCACCGCCCCGCTCTTGCAGATCTCGAACTTGTTCTCATCGCCGACGCTCAGGTTACATAGCGCAGCTGACACTTCGCGGAGGATTTCGATGTCTTCGGAGGCTAAGAGCTGGACCAGCGGCTCCAGCCCACCTTCTTGTACGATCTTCATCTTGTTCTCGTCAGATACGCTGTTTTCCGTTCGTCGCGGATACAGATCGATGGATGGTATTCATTCGCGTGAGTTACCAATCAGAGGAAGAAGAGGTCATGGGCAGTCAAGAGGCACAGACTGTGGACTGCACCAAGGTGTACAGGGTCCATCCGTCTCTCTGTTGCCAGCCACACCGTGGAAAAGGCCTGAGGGCGATCTTCAACTCTTGAAACACCTCACGAACACCAACCCGCATAGTCCCATATTTTTTCTCCTTCTTGATCCTCTGTCTCACCAAGAACTACAGATACATACAAGCATCTCCCCGATCGCTCTGCAGGCCTGTTCCACAACACGTACTCAACAAACCTGAGCCCCCGCATTGCAGCCGCTGCTTGCTGGTGGACATCCGGATCTGAACTGTAGGACAACGTGATGACTGGCTGCAGACCCCCTTCTTCGATAATGAGCTTATGGTTCTGGGCGGAGCAGCTAAGGTTGGCCAACGCGCACCCGACGTAGTACTGGCTCATCACGTCTGGACTGTTGCTCAGCGAAAAGAGGGCGTGGAGGGCGCCCTCCTCCAGGATACTGGGGTGGTTAGCGAGCGTTGCTGTCAAGTTAGCGATCGCGAGAACCGCATAGCGGCGTGCCTCGAGCTGCGTCTCCACCGCTTTCGCAATAGCCACCAGAGGTTTTAGTGCGCCGGTCTGGACGATCTTTACCTGGCTTGACACCGTGGTTGCCAGGTTTGCCAGTCCGAGTGCGGCGAAGCGGCGGGCGTTGACCTCACCGCTCGTCAACGCCTCCACCATAGGCTTGAGCGCGCCCTCTCTGAGGATAGCTTGCTGCATGTCCGGGTTGGCGGCGAGGTTGGCGACAGCTCGATTTGCTTCCTCTCTCGAGTTGATATCACCGCTTCTTGACAGCGCGATCAGCGGGGGGAGGCCTCGCTCTTCGAGCAACCGGTTGTGCAGCTCGCTCATCTCCATCAGGTTGGCTATGGTGCAGCAAGCGTGACGCTCGACCTGGGGGGCGGGAATATTTTGACCGGGTTGACGTTGGCGTTTGATGGATATCACGTGCAGACGTTGAGCATCGTTGCGCTGCGACGACGGATACAACGTACGGATGAAAGAGACTGCCAAACAACATGCTGAACAACAACGGCTGAAGACAATAAACCTAAGGTAGATCGCTAACTGAGTTTCTCGACGGCGAAAATACAGCGCCAACATGCAAACAGCGCAGCTGCAGGCGCTTGGATACACCCGAACAGAAACGGTTATTTTCAAAGTTTGGCACTTCCCTGTAGGGTGCGCCGTTGTGCCGTAGCTCTGGGCGCGTCTAGACGCACCAGAAACGCATTTAGCCCCCCTCTATCTACCCCATATCTGCCAAAAAAGGTGTCCAGTAGAGTGGGCACGGAAATTATCATTGCAGGAGAAGGTACCTCGTTGTCCCCACACATCGTCATCGAGATGATATTGGCGATTGCGCGGTCCACCATCTCCATCTTGTTCTCTTCCATGCAACTCAAACAGTTGAACGCGGCAGCAACTTCTCGCAGCAACAACATATCGTCTGTCCTCGCCATGAGAACCAGGGGATCCAAAAAGCCGTCGCGTACCACTTGAACTCGGTACCCAGGCGTAATGCACAGTCCACGGACACAAGACAGCGACTGGCGCTGGACGTTGAAATCCTCGCAGCAAGCCAGGGCTACGAGGGCTGGCACCGCCCCGGCGAGTACCACATCATCCCTGAGATTAGCGTTTGCAGCCAAGTTGCTCAGAGCAAACGCGGCGTACCGTCCAGACTCGATGTCGCTTGCCTTAAGAAGTGTGACCAACGCGCTGATCCCGTCTAGTTTTGCTATATCGTCGTGGTTATCGGGCTCAGCAGCAAGGTTCCCTAACCCCATCGCACTATACTGCCGAACAATCATGTCCGCATCGTCGTCTTTGATAAAGTTGATAATCGGTTCCAGCACACCGTCTTCCACGATCTGAAGACGCGTAAACACAGCAGATGCACAGTTGGCGATGCAAAGAGCTGAAAATCTCTGTGCCTCTACATCTTGGGAGCGTCGCAGGAGCTCCAGCAGGGATCGGATGCCGCCTTTCTTGACGATGCGGTCATGCAGTTCCTCGTGGGTAGACAGGTCGGCGAGGCCAAAGGCGACCTCTTTTTGCTCTCGAGGGCGCCGAACACGACGCCCCTTGGCAATCAATGCCTCCAATACCTTTGCCATGGTGAGTGGATGCCTCTGGATCCTTGCGCTGCGTCGCTGTCCGTTCTTCGCGGAGAGGATGCCTGGCGCGGCGGAGCGGCGGAACTACGTAGATCCCGCCGCATCTGGCGTTCCCCTCCGGCAGTAACGGGCTCTTCAGAGTTGGGCCGCGCGCTGTTGGGGCCTGGCGTACTTGGTATCTTTTTCGTTGAATGCACATCCACCAACAATGACGCACTGAGTGCATGGTATTTCGATCGTACACTTGTATCATCATGCTGTCGTGGTTTTCATGTCCTCTTTGTCCTTCGAAATATAGAGGATAAAGGAGGGCAAGCAGTCTTGTACACATCGGCCGAAATGCCGCCCACGAAGGAGGGGTGCAAACCACCTCGAAAGATGGATGCTGGCGTGGTCGAAGCGATGGCGTCCCGACAACACAAGAACAATCTCTCAGAACTAGGCGTGAATTGGCTCGGGAATGGACACCTCAACGCCTCAGAATCGGATATTATGTACAAATACCACGTGGTAAGTGCCGCGACTACAGCAGTACGCTTGTTCGTAACATGTACCAGAGTATGCATAGAGACCGCGAATGAGGCTCTCAAGCTATTGCTGTACTCCGAGTAGATAGCTGTCTAGCATCTGCCAAACATTGCTACCGCGGAGCTTGCCACCCAAGTCGTGAACAGTAATGCACAGACATGTTTGTAACACCGCCAATGTACTCGTGGAGAGCGATGATACCTACAGTACACAACACACAGTGTAGAGGGCACCGCAGCATTGTAGGCTTGTGCCCGCAAGTCCGCATATAGTCTATACGGCAAAGAAAGGTGCCCGAGGCTGTGAAGGTGCTTCGACATCGACAGCAGCAACAGTTTTGGGATTTTTCGCCTCCAGAAGGGGGCCGTAGTAAAGAAATACACCGAGTATGAGGAGTACCGTCATAGTCGGAGAGATGGCATCCCCGTGTTAGCGTTTTTTCATAGCGTATTCCTCCTCAATCAGGGGGGTACCACTGCCGAAAAGAGAAGTTTTGGAAACATTTCGTCGAGATCTTTCCTGAGAGGTATCGGTTGGTATTCTCATCCTCATAGCTGTGGAGAAATACGTAATAAAAAAACGCTGACACGGGGGTGCCATCTCTCCGACTATTACAGTTGTACTTTCAGATCGAGAATGAGTTTCATACCAAATATTTCCACCACCGACAAGCGATGACTAGTACACCGGATGTACGCAGTACGATGTATTTAGATAGGAGGGAGCCGCTGGGGCGTGACATTATTTTTCGAGCAAGCAGAGCTTATTTTCCTAAACCAATGTTCCCTCTGTTGCGAGCCCAACTGAAAATCAAGTGGTTTGAATATTCTTGCGATAAAATCGCGACTGAAGCAAAGCATCCTCGCTCTACACGAAAAATGCCGTGAACTACTTGTAGCCAGAGTACCAATCTGCTACTATCCGTGTCAAATTCGCTTTTTCAAATGAGAATGCAAGGAGTCGATTCCGAACTTGTCCACAGACCATATCCACGACCAGCGAAATTGAACCAACACGCTCAAGTATCAACTCACCACGTACAGGAATGTTGGGGTCGTTTTATAGGTTTTCCGAAAACAACTTGGAATTCTGGCAACTTCGAGGAGCCCGCAAGTCGGTGATACCGCGGTATACCAAGTACTTGTTGTTTCGAAGTCCACTAAGGCTGTTTGCCAAGCACACCTCGACTTTAAACAAAGTTATAGACTATCGCCCAGGCGCAACGAGCAGTTCGCCCTGGAGACGCCAGGAGAGTAGGAGTGGGAGGGCAACACAAGGAGCCTCATGCGCCACCTCCTAGCTCGTAACTGTTCAAATGCGTTGGAGGCCCATTTCCGTGAGATATTGTATCAAACATTTCCCCAATTGGCGGAATGGGTTCAACAGATAGATTCAACGAATCCCTTCCACGCAACGATTGTTTTAGCTACACCCGAAGTTGCAACAGCTGGCTAGTGTGATATTTCCCGCCAGCACCACAAGGCTATTCTTCACTACCTCCCAGCGGGTGCATTATCAGTTCGGGGTGGTATGATTCCCAACGAATACCCTCGACGCGCACTCTCCCAGCAATCCTTCCAGCTTCACTAGCTGCCTAGTGGCGGGGGGTTTGTCGACAAACCAAATAAGGTAACTTGACTGTTACGCCACACGTCAGCAGATTTGGTGGCTTACAACTTGTGGGGTGGGTAATCTCGTCAAAATTTGTGCTTCGCAGGGGGCAAGAAAATGTTGGTTTGAACCTCCTCGTCCCCACCCACTACGCACCTACATGCACAAGATTCCACGGTTCTCTTCCGATCGATAGTGGCTGTGAAATGAGCCTAGGGGGCGATCTTATCCAAACCAATGCCCACGCCCACGGTGACGCGGGCTCAGACGTCTCTACCTTGGATGCTACCCTTCGAGTTGGATCTGACCTTGGTGCCAGAAAGAGAGTTGGAATTTTCGGAGTTTGAAAAAACACGTGTCATGATCTTGAGCAGAGAAAGAAATTTCGAAAAGTAATCAAAAGTTACGAAGGATGGGCTTCTTTGTGACGATCCGTAGAATGATTATCTTGCAATTTTCGAGCTCGTCTTCATGTTGCATGTTCCGAGGCTCTGCACGATTGATAACACTGCCGTCCTCTTCGAACGGTTGTTCTAACACAGGCGCACCTAAGTGACGTGTATTGGGGGCGCAGCAAGGTGAACAACACCACTCCCAGGAGCGTGACAAACCCCCCGCCCTGGGCGAACCTCGACCCCCGCGTCTTGTCGCCGATCCCTGACAAGAAGAAGAGGGAAGACCGCTGGGACGGCAGTTTCTTCCGAGGTAACTCTCTCCAGCAGAACCAAGCAAATGGGGGTTCAAGTGGTGTTGCACGAAGAGTTCGCCCTGCCTCGGCGGGAGCTCACAGGCGGCGGCACGATGAAACACGTGGCAGCGGTAGCAGTACCCAAAGACCGCAAGAGAGCCGGAAACGCAGGCCGGCGTCAGCCCATGAGCGTGGCCGAGGAGGGGCTTACGAAAGCGGGGTAAAAAGTGGCGGTATCGGCGATGGTGACAGCGACGCTGCCACAGCTCGAAATGATCAAAACCGGCCCCCCACTTTCGGGGCAATCAGGCAGCGGGGTCCAGCAGAGGACAATGCATGCTATCCAGCCGACGTTAGCGAAGGAGGTGGCAACCTCGCACGAGAAAAATGCAAACAAGCAGGGGGGGGAACCGGAAACAACAATCGTGGAAGTAGCCGCAGCGCCTACTCCGTTGAAGAGAGGGAAATTCTGGCGGGAGGTTATCGTCTGAACGACGAGCAGGAGTCGAGGTTCCGGGATTTTGTCACTATGCTCGTCGATTTTGACACCTGTAGCACGGTCCATATCCTGGACGACGTTTTCCGAGAGGCGCAGCTAGCAACCGGCTTGCAAGACTTCACGGGCTGTGGTTCAGATTCATGATACCATACACATTAGTGCAACGCTTTCGTCAGAAACTACACAATATCGTTGAAACACTCAACGAGCAGGTTCGCTGGTATTGACAGCAACCTATTTCGTCTCGTGTAGGCTGTGGAATAAGTTAGGACTACAGCAGAGGGTACAGCTAGTACTACAAAATCATGAGCAACAAATCCCGCTTGGAGTGCCGAAAACAAGCGTGGTTCATCACTTGACGATTTCTGCCTACCTCACGCACGTCGTTCCTGCCAGGATCACACAGGACAAAACTCCTTTGTGATGCATGCCCTCATTTTTTATGGTCAGCGACATTGGGTTAGCCTTTGCTTTCCTCATGCATACGTTTCTTGACCAAAATCAAAATAGGTACAAGATGTCGTTGAACCTCCTCAACAAAAATTCAAAATCAACCCTACCTCTAGACGGTACACAGGTGGCCAGAGGCGCCAGGTTGACGAACCACGAAATTACAACCGTGTCCAGCTAGCCCCACCGATGCGAATGTTAGCATATCTAACCCACAGGGCGGGCTAGCACAGTCTAAAAACAACTAAACCCGATTTCACGCCCCCCTCCCACCCCCCTCCCCCTGGTGGGTGTTTGCCATCGGGGTTGGGTTTTCGTCGCTTGGCAACGACATTGTA